CTATGCATCTAAAGGCTTGGTTAAGATGAAAAAGCAAGTGTCACGAGCCTTAGATTAAAAGTACAATTTATTAAATTGATTAATATGGTCAATTATGACTACTAATACTTGTATATTAATATTTATTTTGTAGTTAAACCTGCAAGCTAGTTGAAATAAATAAATGATCAATGGTACGCTTATATCACATATACGCACACACATCCCTGCAGAAGGTATTGCTTCATGAGCCGACGATTTTTTTCAATTTGCTATTAAAAAAAATGTTTAATGCATTTTATTCATTAATGTTAATTGATTGGTGTTAATTAGATAAGGGCGCTTGTAGGGCCCCTTAATGATTGGAATTTGTTGATACCCGAAAAATTCTATCAAGAATAAAAAAGCAGCTTATAACATTTCGTAGGTGGCATCTAGAACTACATTCGAAAATCTCAACCAGATCTGTCCCAAATTTAACGTTCTTGGAGTGTTTTTTAACGTAGTTAGTCCAGCATGTTACCTACAAAATAGGATAAAAAGCTCCGTAGTGCTTTTCAGTACTTATTACGAAAAACGTATAATAACAAATTTCAAAAAAAGAAGAAGATGTACCTATAAATAATCTAGTGTGTTGAGATTCCAAACTTAATATTTTTCCTGTAACAAAATTTAAACGTAAAAAATAATAATAGTGTTTGTTTTGCACAATGTTAAATGTATCAAATTAAAATATATTCCAAATCGTTTATAGTCTTAACATTGTTACTTGGTTAGTGACCGTTAATCGATAATTATTCAGAAATCGTGAGATGCGGTCTGGTATGATGTAGGTTTCAGAAAAACATTTTCTTTATCGTGCCAACGCTATCTTCCGATAACTTCAAAATAGCTTTCAAAAATTATAAAACAATTCAAACATTTTTTCCAAAATTAAGATCCCACACCAATAACAAATAAATCTGTCGTAATCAACAAAATCAACTGTTTAAACTATCCGGCAACTTACGTCGGTCTTACATCCCAATATCTGGATAAGAGAGTAAAACAGCATATCTACGATTGCAAAAAAAACCAAGCAAAATTCTACAGCACTCGCTACCCACCATTTTGAACACAAACACAATTTCGACTTCAACAATCCAAAAATATTGCACACAGAACAAAACAAACATAAACGTAATTTTTTAGAAATGGTTTATATCAACAGAGATAAACTCAGCATCAATTACAGAACAGATACATGTAAACTCAGTCGCAGCTACGCCAATATCATTAATCACATTCCACACATCAAATGTTTTTCACATAGTCTAATTTTTTAACAATTTAGCTTTCCTTTTCCTATTTATCCCTTTCTATATAATCCTAAAAGGATAATCTAGCCGAACCATTACCAACGTTTTTCCCTTCGTCACCTAAAAGAAGCCGACGCCTTATACACAAATGTCTTTTCAATACCGACTTCCTTCACCACCCCTTCAAAAGCCAACGTATATAAACACAAAATAGCAAAATCTCACTGGCACTCTCACGCGACTCGCAAGAATGGTACAATTACACAGAAGACAAACACTTTGAGTGAGTAGAAATACTTTGATTGAATATAAAAAATATGTTTTGCATTGTATAAATTCACTTTTTTCCATATCCTACATGTATTTGTTAAATGTAAACAATGTTTGTAAATCCCAAGCCCTGAAGATGATCTCAATAAAGATCGAAACGTTGGGACGATAAAGAAAATGTTTTTCTGAAACCTACATCACACCAGACCGCATCTCACGATTTCTGAATAATTATTGTTACTTAAGCATTAAAATTTACTTATGATTCATATACTTCGTAAGTCGAGTATGGAGATTTATTATTCTAGGTTTTATTTATTATCTCATGTTTCACCACCTTATGGAGTTTTTCACCGATGCAACAGTATAAATAGTGAAACCTAGGATAATTTAACTTTTAACTACAGCAACAAAGCAACATCAAAATTATTTATTTTATTTAGCGTTAACCTCACTGTGATGCTCAAACATTTAATCAGTTAAATGGACTTTTAATTTATATTGTACTTATAATTTCATAAATTTATGTTGGCAAGAAGGCATTTTTCTTATTACAGCAAATATAAAGTTTATTGATTTTAATTTTTGTTAGGAGTTTACTTTAGTAAAAGTTAAATGTTTTACGTTCTACAATTTTTTTACGTTGATTGGCTTTAATGTCATAAAGGGCATATGGTGTCCAGTTGAATTCGAAACAAAAAGGACAATCTAAAAACACTGGTGACCATTTTCTACGTTTAAATATCTAATGCACGTTACTTATGTAAAGTTATGGAGTTTCCCTTTTTGTGTTTGCACAGACACTCTGACGTGTGATTTTCCGACTACAAATATGAAAAGCATATGAAGGAATGAATTCTTCATCATATTGAAATATTAAGTTCAATGCGAAATTTTAATTGCTACAGCTGACATTTGAGCGGCTTCATATATTCATATTTTATATATGATGGGGGGATGGGAAATTAAAAACAGAAGTGAGGTCGAATTATACCGGACTTAAAAAGAGTTATATTTGTAATAGAGACGTTAGGAAAACCTTTGGTTCAAAGATAAACATCTTGAAAATGGATTATAATTAAACCTATTCGTCTTGTTTACTCAAAACAACTTTTTAATGTATATTCTATTTTGTTTAAGTTAACGAGATGATTCAAGAGTAAAAAGAGAACTGATGATGACATTAAAGTGTAATGTCTGAATCAAGAAAACCAAGGCCAGATGTGCAAGGAAGAGGAATGATTACACAAAAGAAAAGAGATGCAGTTTAACCAGACCATTAATTTTGCCAAAGCTGATAAATCAACACTCAATTACTGTAATTATATACTAACCTTAAAAAAATTCGAACCTTAGACAAAAACAAAGAATTAGAAAAAAATGCGAATCTTAAATTTAAACTTTGTTATTTTCCACAAAAATAAAATACATAGATATTAAACTTTACATTAGTGAAGTAGAATTTTATGTATATATAAAGAATATATATATAATATTCTTATATATAAAGAAGCTGTGTGATTAGCGAGGAGGTTAAAAAAATTGCTGGCTATGTCGTCTAGATATGAAATTCCCCATATTGATTGATATCGCCATGGTTAAAAAGAGAGAATATAATCGTTTTAACAAAAGATAGAGAATCAGCACCTAAATTATTATTATTATTAATTATTAATTTTTAAGGGCATTTTAACGGCTAAGGTCATTTCACGCCCTAACATCCAAACCTTCTATCTTAGGTTAGCTATATCCCTTCTGAGTGCTATAAAACTCTGACTCCAAACATTATCTCATAAACTAATCTAGCTTTATTTTATCCGGGTTCGAATCCCGCTCGTGCCATTGACTTTTTTATCTCAACTAAAAACCTTAATTAATTGTAAGATATTAATTAGTCAAGCGGACCACGAAATTAGTGAATTGAATAGATATTAATCTTTCTGACAACCCTTGGCTGAGTTTTTGCCTTTTTCTCTCCTAGACTTTGTTTCTCCAAGTGTCAGCGTTTAACAGATTAGCCCTTTCGCCAACGGGTCCGGAACAACAACTAAGCGTACCAGTGATTCTTGCTGGGGTTTTTGTGCTATTAATTTCATTAAGTAATAAAACCTATCTACGACTCTAATTCTATGATTTTTTAAGCCTGCTTTTATTTGCGAGCCATTTTTTTTTAATTTGTGCAACTCAACGTAAATGTGAATAAACGCCAGAATGGCATATTAAATGTTTATAGGCTACCACAAAGGTTGGACCCCTGGTCACCTATGGGGATCTAAAAGGGTGGCTGAATATCGAGAAACAAAACAATCTGCAAAACCAACAAACACTGATTTTAAAAACCTGTCTTAATATAACAGGGGCGATGCAAAAATATTGGACACCGCAAATGTTCTCCCACCCTGAAACAATTATGTACACAAGGCTATCAAAAGTGCTAGCAGACTCCTGAGATACAACGAATTAAACCAGATTAAGAAGAATCCAGCACAAAATTCTGGAGGGAATTAAAATAAATGGTATAGCTCTAACAATAACTGAGAATGTGTCAAAGGAAGCAGGAATAGACTGCGAATCCTAACAGGATTCCTGACAGGACACTGTAGATTAAATGGNTAATATACATATATATTTATATATACATATAGGTTTTCATCGCTTGAGGATGATAAACGTTACATAATAAAGCTTTGTCCTTCCAGTATTCAATAAAACAAACTATGCTTATTATTTGACATAATTATCAATCTGCGTGCTGTAAATAATGAATTACTCATCTCGAGAACCTCAGTCAGTCAAAACGCGTTACTTGGTTTATTCAAAAGAACGTACAATACAAGTCACTAATTAACTTATAATAACGTGAAATTTCTTACGATTCTTCTTTATCAATATTTACCTTTAACTACGTCGACGTAAAATAAAACACTAAAACTATTCCATAAATGTCTGTTTTTTTAAATTTTCAAATAACTTAAAAATATATTGGACAGGCACTGGGTCTGTCTTAATTGGCGGGGGTTCAAGACATTGAAACGAATTTTAGCAGAATAGCAGGCATCACTAAAGAGGGCGCAAAGTGGTAATAAGTTTGAATGGCATCAAAACCGGTGTAAGTAGACGGACATAGTAAGTGACTATAAGACAAACAACCCAACAACCTAAACTTAAAAATTTATTTGTATTATTGTGCAATTAGTTGATGATGCATGAAATGTTTGCACATTGAACATTAAGATAAATCGTCACATTTATTATTCGAGATTGAAGAGTGACGGGTTAAACTTTTTAAAGTGTGAATTAAATATCGATCAGGGCAAGACAGAATCGCTTAGAAATGGGTCAAGCAGTCCTTACGAATGTGTTAGTTCGTTATTCATCGATGTGTGATGCTTAATATTGAATTTAATTTACGGATTTTTAGCTTTAAAAGTCGTTTTGGAATTAATCGCTCACCTGTGAATGGTGCGAAGAGCACGAGAATCGTGGCGAACATTATTTTGCAGATCCTGTTGGCTGGCTGGTGGCTTCTTGAGCGACGGTTTTTTGAAATCAACACCGTCATCTCTGAAACCAATAAACAATAACATTTAGATCATCATCAAATTAATCAGGTAAAAGAAGCTTGCAGAAAAAACAATATGCCACTGCATAAGGTATTTAAACAAATTGTCTGTTACTAAAATGTAATTAATTTATTTTTACTAAAAATCTCGTATCTAACACAAATGGAAATTAATCGTTCCCAATGTAAGTCTCATGATGTTTTTTATAATCATCCAAAAAAGCAATTTTGTACCAATGACATGAAGCAAAGTATTCAAAGTGAAAATAAAAAATACAACTGGTAAATACTAGCTTAAATAAAATTATAAAATTTGCATGCCTTAGATAATTATATTGTAGATAATTTTAGGGATATTTATTTAGTTTGTTAGACCACAGAACCTAACATCACTTTTTCAAATTTCACTTTTATTCAAATCATCAAAGAAGATGTCAAAATGCCCCTACGGGAATTTAACTTACAATCATGTTTGGGGAAAAATTAAGATTGATGCTACGATGCGTCATGTTTTACTGTGCTGCCTGACGTGTTTGCAACAATATTTTCCCGCAGTCTAAAGAAAATATCACACGTTCCACATTTTAAGTGTAACTAAACGTCCTTCATTCCAATTAAATAATGCTCGCCGATTTTACTTGATAGCGGCAGTTAGAGCCAGTGCGTTAAAGTCGAGAAGAGGATTTGATGGAATTGACCGTTTCCTCTCGGGAAGCAGTTCATAACAAAAGGATTAGACTATAAGCACAGCAAATGCACATGGCATTTGTGTGAAGTCGGCCCTTTATAGGTTTATTTGAGCTTTATTCAGTAATGTGTAGATCTTGACTAGACTACATCTCATCCAAATAATCATTAATTAACGGTCACTACAAACTACACATTTCTACACGAGAAGAACGAAGAACAACATGAGATTCCACGAGCAGATTTCAATTACACATGGACAAAAGCAAAGAGGTTCTGAAGGACATCGCTACTACTCAAAAGAAACTAGCATTTACAATCAATCAGAGAACCTTTTTGTTAAAATGCAGACAAAACAAGGTATTTCCTACTCACATCAAATATGGATTTTCTTTCACAAATGCCACACTAATATAACCAAACACCAACATTAACGACATACTTAAGGCCACAATACAATTCAAAAGAAATATTTTAAACATCAAAATCATACAAGACCGCAGATCTCCAAATAATCATTTATACAACAGATTGAATTTCGCGTTTTTGTTGTCTTTATTGAAAATTCTCTTACCACATTGCTTTATTATATTTTATCGAATGCCACTTCATTAGTCTTAAACAATTCCATCATGTACATTCAGCAATTTATGTTTGTGTTTGATTAATATTTTTTTTCTTTCAAGCTTAAAACAAACAATAGAAACTAAATATTAATTACATTTCTTCTTGCGAAACAATGATTTTACTATAAAGCGAATCTCTCAAAGACCCATAAAAAATGTATGATTTAATACATTTATTTAAAAAAAACATAAAATAAAAAATTGAGACAATATGAATATAATAAAAATGTAATAAAACAACAACAATTAGAGGATAGCCGCACATGGGCGCTGGAAAGCGACCGAAGAGGTGTGCGCCACGACTGTGCTAAAAGAGGATACTAGGAAGCAGGGTTTGCGCTTCCCAGGCACTGCAGCCTTCTGGTTTTACCTACCACGACTGTGACTGTGAAACATATTTTAGAATAGTTTGAACGACTAGCGCCGCACAGGATTCGATATGGTCTGCTGAACGATATGTCGAAGATATTAAAACACAACAGTGATCATAAATTCACTAATTTCGTGGTCCGCTTGACCAATTAATATATTACAATTAATTAAGGTTTTTAGTCGAGATAAAAAAGTCAATGGCACGAGCGGGATTCGAACCCACGATCTTCGGCTTGATACGCCGCTGCTCTACCACTTGAGCTATCGTGACCTCGATCCACTCGGACACTAACTTCCCATCTCAACCCCACATTTTGAATTTTCCCTCCTTTTTGCCATTTTTCAAATTTCGTGTAATCGGATTGGATTCTCGACGACAAATAAATTGGTCACGGAGAGCTTTAGTGAAGTACACTTCATTTTAAATAATTAAATTCACTAATTTCGTGGTCCGCTTAACCAATTAGTACATTACAATTAATTAAGGTTTTTAGTTGAGATAAAAAATCGTGGGTTCGAATCCTGCTCGTACCATTGACTTTTTTATCTCAATCAAAAACCTTAATTAATAATAGTGGTCATAAAGATGAACTCCTTGAATATCTAAAATCGATAAACGCATATGGTCACTCACACGTGAAATTTTGTTCCTCTTCTTGGTAAGAATATGTTTATTTGCGTGCGTTGGTAAATATGAATGGACTGGTCTGTGTCGGAATATAGAGTACCCTGCAGACCCTGTAGTGTAGGTTCTTTTTTTCACTGTGTATGTATGTATGTGTGCGTGCTGCTATAATATCAATTGAATTACGGCTCTTAACCACGTGTGATAGGAGACGTTTATTATGGAAGAAGTTACATGTTTGATGTATCCCACATTTCAGCAGAAGGTAAATCGCCCATGAATGGGCTAATAACCTATTACATAGACAAAACGCAGGAAGGGAAAATGCCGAGTAGCTCCGGCTATGTCTGTAGCTACTACCTTATCCTTCCGCAACATACAACCCATACCTTCGAAAGATCCTTTCTGATCCGAGCCACTAAACTCTGGAACTCCCTTCCCCTCTCTTTCGTCACGCTGCCTCCTTTTCCTCCTTTAAATCCCACCTGTATAATCACCTGCTCTCCCTCCAAGCAGAGACCTCACGTTAACATTTGTTATTTTTGTTTAATATTATCGTAATTAGTTCTTCTGTCCTGCCTTATTGGTATACATTGTGCCAAGATTTCTATCTTTTTTTTTTACTTTTAACTTCATAGAAGGAACTTCCTTTATTTATTTCATGTAAATTATTTTTAGGGGACACCAGTCCCAGAATAAAGTTATTTTTCTTCTTCTTCTATTTGCCGGCAAAAAATGAAAATAAATAAAGAACAATTAGAAGTTGAATTGAATTAAGTTTTCTTTTAATAACAAAATGTTATATAGTAAATTCATTTTATACGGTAAGTAAAAATTCAAAACGCTAGTTCAGATGAACATAGCAACTTGACCTTGCATGAAATAAAAAAATTTCGGGTAGAATACTAATAATGGCATGAGATACCTTGACTAATATAATTTATTTTGCCACAAATTACTCAAAATATGAAGCTGATTGTCTTATCACGCGTCATTAAAAGTTTCAACAGATCAACCAACACGAGGTTGATACTCCTAACCTTTTAAAAAGTTTACGAAATAGCGCACTGACACTACTGTTGGCAGACCCCAGAGATAGCTAATTTCCAATATGCCATTAGTTCTGAAGTAGTACACTTGCGTAAGAATAATTCTCGTCATAAACACCTTAGCACACTTTCTCGATTGCTCTGACTGTATTGCAATAATATAAAATTGATGCTTCTTTTGCAATATAGATTGTAAGTGATAGTAATTATTTATTTTTTAGGCTATGGTTAAACTAATTTCTGCCCTATCCTTGTAGTATTTTTTCCATATAATTTCCATATGTCCATAGTTTAGTCTATATTTAAAACTGGATCAAATGTAATTTCAAGTTATGAGGTATTAATGGCCCAGCCTCTAGTACTCATGTTCAATTCATCTGTATGTTATATTATTATGTTGTGGCATGTAACATAACTACATATCAATGTATGTTATCTGTATGGTATATTGTTGGGCGTTCGACACTTGCTATCCGTGTGCTTCTGGGATATAATCCCAGCGCAGAACATTGGTTTTACATTGATCTTAATACGAAAATGGGTTGTAGTTAAACATTAATTCAATGAGCAGTTGGGCTTTAATGTCTAAAGGCTTAAACCCTCCTGAATAACACTTAAATTACAATAAAGTCATTATTATTAATACTAAGGATATGCAATGAGAGGTTAACACACATAAACTTACTTTTAGGTCAACGCCCCCGTATGTGTCCGACATTTAGCGATAGGTTGCCTGATGTGTCCTACCTTATTGAACGGAGCAATGCCTTGGCTCGGGGTATCGCGGTAGCCGAGTTGTCAGCGATTTAAGCCAGGAACACACTTACCCGATGCTACGCCATGCGACGCTACACGATGCCACCCGACGCCTTGCCACGTTTTGGTGGGGTGTGCACATCTATACGACGCAACCCACGTCGCGTACAGTCCACAGCGTTTATCACAATAATCACTATCCCAATCGCAACGCATCTTTTGTTCTTAATGCACTATCTTAAGCAAAACCTTGTAATAAATTGTTAGTTAAATTTTATGAGCTCAACCATCTAATAAATTGTTTGTTAAACTTAATTTGTTTTAAATAAAGTTACTCCTAACCATCATAATTAAACAATGTTTATAAAAATTTGGTTTACATTAAAATAAGATGTTGGAATTAATATAACGACAAAATTATATGTACTTAGTTTGAAATAAACTACAAAAAATATGAGTGTCCTGTTCTGATGCTACCCGACATTAGAAAATGGTGTAATTTTACGAGCAAAACTATGAAATAAACTGTTAATTAAATTTTATGAGCAAAACCGTGTAATAAATTGTTCCAATTTTAGTATATGTACCGCCGAAGCGAGTACAATAAATTGTTAGTTAAATTCATTATATCAAAAAATCGTATTCCGGTGTTTTGATTAATTTTCTACCAAACCATTAAAATTAATTTTTTAAATAAAAACTAATTATTTTAATCACAGTTAATTTGGTTTATATTAAAATAAGTATGCTGTAATTAATATAACGACAATAATACATGTGGTTTGAATAAAAATATGAGTGTCCGGTTCTCTTGTCTTCGACTGTACTCGATGCGAACCGACGAAAATCTGGACAGTGGGGATCGCAGAGCGTCGGGTAGGTTAGCG